TTAATTTCTCAATATTATAGCTGTAAATAAATTAGAAAGCACTAAGTTGTCAGAAGATTCACTACTACCAAGTTTTACACTACTGGGAAATTTATGTGCCTTCCCTTTTGAATTTACAAATTTAAAAAGTTTTTGGAATTATGTAACAGGGTTTTTCTCATTTTTAATATATATTGGGAATAACAGAATACTTTGAATAGTTCAGTGCAGTATTCGTCATTTTAAATTTTTTAAATAATCTGCTTTTCAAATTATGTAAACGTCTCAGTGCAACCTGTCTTTAACATTTAACACATAATTTACTTGGCACAGACAAAGCTCAAATATCTTATCCCAGAAGTTATCAAATCCAGTTGGTTAGGTCAGAGGTATGGAATCTAAAAGATTATCACCCGAGGTCCAAGAAACCCAAGGAAGATTAAAATCAACTAAACAAATCAATGAAAAATTGTCTGTAAGTAATGAAAACACTCTTGCGAATAAAATATATTACTAAATAAATTTTAAGTTCAGAATAAGGTGAAATATATGAACAAGTTATTAGGATCCGTTGAGACATCAATCATTTCTGAAGGAATCGAATTATGAACTGCTATTAGAACTCCACCAACTTTTTTCAATTATCTATCTTTTCTGTAGACTTGATAATTAGCAGAGAATAACTCAGTGTCCAGGACATTAGGGTTTAACCACGTTTCAGTGAAAGCAATTATTTATATTCAGAAAAAACTTTTAAGGAAAACATCTCTAAGCTTAGTATTTATCTGCATTGGAGCGATCTCTAAAAACAAATTATTTTACCAATATATTATCGGGCCACAACGAACTATTAAAAGTAGTGATAAAAAGTCTGTTAGGAACTGTTAATTTAAATGACGAAATTTCGCGTTGTTGAGACAATTTAAATGTGAATATGTTTAAATCATTATCGCTTACATCACGCAACTTAGATTTCATATAATTACGGATATTAACGGTAAAGGTTTCAGGATGAAGTCTGGATATAAATACTGTTTTGCGACGTGTTACAAGAATTAACAAATAAGAGGTTGATGGATCATCAACATTTACAGCGGCCGAGGCGTTTGGAGGAATTATTATTAGAGTTTGCACCACAATAGCAGGTGTGTTAGAAAATGCTCTTTTGAAAGTCGTACAATTCGAGGTTGAGGTTGTAGGGTTGGAAGTAACATCCGAGTCATTACGATTATCACGACAAACCAGTTTATTGTTATTAGGACGGGGATTAGGCGAAATTGGATAACTTAAGCTGATTAAGTTATCGAGACCTAAATTGTTTGTCCCGAGATTGTTAACAACAACTGAAGTTTTTTTTTTCTTTTTGGAAAACCATCAAAGAATTCAAATCTGTTAACCAATTTTTAATTTTTTTAAAATTTTTAAAAAGTTAAAGTTGATTAATTCAGTCGACTAGCTCGACTTCGAAAACACATTTCATCGTTTTTTCAAAAATTCCTCTCGATTAATGGCGTATTTTTCGATGTCATCAGGAATTTTTTAACAATTTTCAAGTGACAAATATCATACACTTTTTGTTATTTTTAACTTTTAGAATTGATATTCTGAAACGATATTTTTTCGAAGATAAACGGTGAGAGCATTTTTAATTTTTTTAAAATTTTTAAAAAGTTAAAGTTGATTAATTCAGTCGGCTCACTCGACTTCGAAAACACATTTCATCGTTTTTCAAAAATTCCTCTCGATTAATGACGTATTTTTCGATGTCATCAGGAATTTTTTAACAATTTTCAAGTGACAAATATCATACACTTTTTGTTATTTTTAACTTTTAGAATTGATATTCTGAAACGATATTTTTTCGAAGATAAACGGTGAGAGCATTTCTTCGTCTATATTTTCATTAGTCTATGCTTGTACATTTTAAAACTATGTAGTAAAAGAGAGAACTGTCACATGTTCTCTGAGAGAACTGCTTTGCTTTGAAGTGAAGCTACACAAGGCTAAGGCGTTGTTTACATTTTGCATTCGAACAATACATTTGAAGATACTTTTTTCTTGCAGAAGGTTACCAATGTGAATAAAATATTTTTCAATTTTTTGTCTATGTATTAGTTTTTCGATAAATTATTTTTGCCTATTTTTTGACTTCTCTTTTGGGTGTGTGTACGTAAACAAACATCAGCTGAGGGGCATTTACCCCCTCTAAGATGTCACTTCTGCGACGCTTCTAATCCTAATACAGGCACTAGGATGTAAATTTACAATAACAAAATTGCTGTTGTCTACTTAGTGGCGCCAAGTCGAAAAAGGTGTAGCGTGTGCAGTGTCTGCTTCCATCGTGACTTCCATCGTATAAAACAGAGATAGCTTGTGTAGTTACTCATTGAGCATGACAAGGCTTTATTATATCTGAGGATAAAATACACTGTGGTGCAGTGGTAACGATGCTCGATTCCCAAGCCAGACATCTCATTTTTGAAACGAAAAAATTAAGGTGTAAGTTTTTCAGCTAATTAGTATAACCATGCAAGCATTTGGAAGTAAGTTACTCTCTCCCTCTCTAAGCTGCCACCAAGGGAAATGAAGAAGGTCACAGTGTGTAGACACTTTTTCGTTACTATACCTTATCCGATGAAACTGCGATAGTTTAAAATTATTTACGAATTGAACACAAATAAGACTTTATTCTATATCAAGATTCCCTCCTCCCGAAGCTACTACGTAGTGGCGCCAAGTGAGATAAAATAAGGTGTCGCGTGTGCAGACACTATTTCGCGACATCCATAGAATGAAACATCGATAGTTTACAATTACTTTATTATATCTGAGGACAATGAGACATTGTGGCGCAGTGGGAATTAAAATAAAAGTTTTTTCTTCACTTTCAATAACTGTCGAGGAAGTGAGTTCACGATTACTAGAAGTTAGGCTGTATACGCTATTTAGTCACGCTTAAAACTATCGCGGGCGTGATTCATTTCTTCCCGAAGGATACTCCTTCCCGGGGTTAGAAAGCGATATCAATCCCGATGATTTATATCGCTTTGGCGTGTCTTCTCTCCGATTTGCGGGATATTTTGTTGCTTGCTGGGGATGTTTACGTCTGTGTAACGTACACAATCAAAGCTTTTGTGTTAATAGTTGTTCGTTAGCCCTGATCTAAAGACACTGTATTAACCCACTGGATCCAATAAACCCTTGACTTTTATATCCTCTAAAATTACACAATATGTGGTCGGAAATATATCTAAATTGCTTTCCAGCTGTACGCTCACATCCATATTCAGTATTTGGGAGATTTAAGCCACAGTTTCAGACTTAATTGTTTTAAATTCGGCACTTCGAGTTTCTAACGTGTTCGTTGGTCACCATCTTATGTACTTCCGAAAATTTGGTATTTTTGTAATTTTAGCCACATTTTTTTATTGGTATTAATGTAATAGCAGCTTGAGAAGGAAACCGTTAACATCGACTTTGCGACATTTTTTTTAACTTTTTACCAACAGACATAAATGGAAGTGGGCCAAATATTCAATCTGATTTATTTTGTTAAGGTCTTCTTTATCACATGGTGGAGTGTCTTAAATGTTCGGTCCGGCCGAACTTAACGCTTTTTTTTGAGTTTTGCCTTGTTAAGGCGAAGATCATTTGTTTATGATTTATGTGTTTGTTTCTCTTTCGAGACGAGCTTAATGATCTGAAATTTGCAGTGAAAAGGAAAGACAGATAGACACTATCACTCACTCACCACTAGTTCACAACAACTACACTTGTCCACAACAACTACATTGCTTCCAATGCATATAGTTGTTTTAGTGCTGCTTTAGGAAAACGGGATAATGACTGTGAACGTTGAGACGGCAACTTCTAGTGGGCTGCACACCGAGGTCCGCGGTTCAAATCCCACAGCCAGGCTCGGCTGAATTTTAATTTTTGAGTTTTGCCTTGTTAAGGCGAAGGTCATATGTTTATGATTTATGTATATGTTTCTCTTTCGAGACGAGCTTAATGATCTGAAATTTGCAGTGAAAAGGAAAGCCAGATAGACACTATCACACACTCACCACTATGCGATGCGTTTCGCCGTTGGTTAAGCTGCTCATAAGGCATATTTGGTGTGGATAATGGCTTACAAGTGTCGATCTGTGGAAAGTTTTTATTTGTTTATATTGGCAGTGATCTATGTATTGCAAATAATTTTAAATATGATTCTAAAACTGTTTACCCAAAATTAATAGCATATTTTTGTAAAATCATAAAATAAAGCCATCTGACGCTTTCGCCTCGATTAATTGAAATAATTTTTCATTTCATATATACGAATGTTTCTTTTGACATAAATGCACTAAAAAATAAATATTATAGGTCACTTTATCGACATTGTTCTCGCGATCTATTAATTTTCGTTACAGTTTCTTTTTTTTAGTCTATAAATGTCGGGAATCTCAAGTATTAATTATTAATATTGTTTTTATTAATATTGCTATTTTTTCCACACAGCACAAGTTGAGCGTACATTAAGATGGAGGATATCAATGAAATATTTTGAAAAATTATCATATCATATGTTAGCTTGAGATTACCTTGAATAATTTGCTATGGGTTGGGGTATAAAACTCAATTATTATAATATTATTAGCATAATACCTAATGGAAACAATACCTGTTTTAGTTCCCTTGTAACGCCCTGGATGCGAGAAAATTTATAATACATGTAGTGTCATACATGTATTATAAATTTTCTCGCAAGAGTTTTCATTTATGATTCTGCCAGTAAGAAAAACCCTGCGAATCATATTAGACAATACCAAAAATTGAATTATTTCAGCTGTAGACGTGAAAACTTTAAAGGAAAAAAACAATTCTTTAGTCTGGCATTAAAACTGCGAAATTATTAAAAACTATAGATGCGTTTCAAACATTGAAACGGTTGTCATAACAACTTGACAAATGAAACTAACTACATTTTATTTTGTGTAAAAAGTTCAAAATACTTGGTTATGTATATTAAAACTTACATTCATTCCAACAGATTTTTCAAAAAATTGCTCTTTTCTCTCCTTGATTTCAGACATATTAGCTTCTGGCTCCAAATCAATTGTTTGACCGGATGCACATTCATTGTCCTCTGAAGCATCGACTTTTTCATTACACTGAGTATTTTCCTCTTCGTCGAGAGATTCTCCCTCCATTGGTGCCAAAGACGTTTTAAGATCATTTTCTTCATTAACCGTTTTTTGGCGTAAAAGAGAACCGAATTTTTCAAAAAAACCCCCGTCCGAATCTTGCAATCTGCAAAATAAAAAAGACATTTTAAACATGAGTAGGTTAATTAACCACATTTATGCAGATTAACATTAAATGTTAGATATAATTAGAACGAAGAAAGGATTATGGAACATACGTTGTATGGAGAGCCGTAAATAATATATTAATAAATAATATCTGACCCTGTCCATTTTGCTGGTCTATACTTGTACTGTTTACTGTATGTTCTTAAAAATATAATAAACTACAAAAGTTCCTCAAATAAATTGTAATCTTAGAACTCTCCTCTTTGAAAAATCTTTATATTTTGGTTTTCTCTTCATTCAGATTTCATGGTATAAGTTATTTGAAGTTTTTCGTTCCTTCTAGGTTATTGCTGTATTTAGTTGAACCCATTTCTCTAATGGACTCACGCCTTATGATAAATGAATAAAACTTTGAGTAAACACCTGTTTCACAGCAGCGATTTGTTATAAAGTTTCCTTATTAAAATATATTTTCTGTGGTTAGGAGGTCTCGTTCATATAGTTTAGATCATGCTGTAAGGCATTTAATTTTTTCAACCTCGTTATTGAGGTTATGACGAGTTCAGGACAGGCCAATCTAAGCTCCTCTTTTATTACCACTACCTAAGATGGAGGAATATTATTTTGTCATCAGTTTGTAACATCACAAACAATTTTTTAGAACTCACAGGTCAAAATTCGTTGTCTGTTTGCCCATCCGTCCCTTGAAATCGAAAAGAGATCGCATCATTCAAGAAAGATCCTGAAACTGAATACAAGTGTATACTGAATGCAGATATATATAATAATATTTAGGTCCCCTTTCCGGTATGGCCCTCATATAATTCTACCAGCTAATACTCATCATTTGGCATGTTTCTGCTACAATTTCCTCTTGTATTCAGTTTAGTGAAAACATTTCCGGCAACACTAGTGTAATATTGGAACCCAGTTAAATATAACTTTATATAACAGTCTCTGCAGGCTAAAGTATTTCTAGGATTTGAGAGGGAATTTCCAATAAGAAGAGTTTCAGGTTGGGTTTCACGGATAAGTAAACAAATTTTTAAATAAAAGAGAATCGCAGGGCTACCTAGGGTAGATGACAGTGATTTGCTAAACAAGGATCTTCTTGATACAGTACACATTAAATAAAATAAGAAAATGTGGTGAGAAGAACTTCGAGTTAGAAATAAATAATATAACATGTTTAACTGCTGCATGTTTTAAGGAGTTAGATAATGGGATGCAATCTTTACTCAGACTGATAAGCAAGTGCAGCATGGTTGCTTGCCACATGTGAGAAAGCTATGCGTCTTTATGATTTACCCCTATGATTTATGGTGGCATGGTGCATACTAATAAGTACAGTTGGTATATATATCTCTCTCTTTTACACTATTCGCTAAATTAGGTTAAGTCAGATTATCATAACTAGTTCTTAAGAAATATTTTTAATAAATAAATTTAATGTCTTACAACCGCTCATCAAAGAAAGACGTGGTATCTGTGATATTATTGATCCCGGTTTACATTGGTCCTTCGAGCCGGATCAGTGGAGGATAGTGGAGAAAAAACAATGTTAAAGAATTTGCCTTAACGTCGAGGAAATTCTGTCGGTTAGGCTAAAATTGGTCTTCAAGATTGGAAAGTTGCCGAGCTAAAACTATAGCTGGAATGGTTTCTATACAGAAGAAATTTATAAATAAAAGGATGCTAAGTCAAAAAGAGACTTCAGCAAAGAAGACTGTGGTGGTGGTGCACACCGAGGGGTCTTCATATCTGAGATCTTCAGATAGAAGGGGTAAGGCATATCCCCAGGAGGACGAATCGATGAAATGACCGCCAATGATGAAAATGAAGGAGGACATTGTGACTCTTCTCGAAATAATGGGTACTATTATGGAAATAATCAGTACATTAAAGACGGAAGAAGCCATAGAAGGTGCCACAGAAAAACTTATGGACGCGGCAAAGGACGTAAAATGCGGTCCAGTCATTCATAAGCAGTTTTTAGAGAAGTCCAAAATAGCCGCTGCTATCAGAGCAAGTCAGCTGAATGCAACAGCGAGGCTGTACTCGGAAGATGTTAAGGCCATCCTTGAAGTCACGCAGGCTCTTAATGTGTCCTTGGCTGGAAGAAACAAGTGGCCTATATAACATCTGAATTGGACAACGAGCGAAAGGAGCGCGAAGCAGCGGTAACCGAAATGAGGGAAATGGAAAGCGATATTAAGGAAATGGATGTTGCCTTGGTTTTACATAAAAATGAAAAGGAAGATGGCTTCAAACTTATCATGTCTCTAAAGGGGAAATTCAAGAATGCTCTGTGGGTAGCCGAGGAATCTGAGGACAAATTACGAGCGGCTAACCAGGAAGTAGAACGCAAAGGAAAGGCGTTGAAGGCTGTAATAAGACAACATAGTAATGATTTGTCTTCTTAAAGATAGCAAGACTCGCAGCTGAAACCGAACGGGGCAGGTTAGCTGGAAGCTGGAGAAGAAACTGAAAAATTGAAGAGGAAAAGAAAACAAGATGTCTTATCCACGTAGAAACGGAACGCGACAGAAGGTAAACATGAACTGTTCGTCAGTGAGATGAAGACGAAGGAGGATAGCAAGCTGCGTCGCTGGTATAATAAGATGCTGAAAGAAGCTTAGGTTGTAAAGAAGATGCCTAGTTAAGAGAAGGATGATAACTTTCGACATAGAAACAAGATGACACACAAAACGGATTCAGCCAGAAATTGAAGACAAAGGAAGTGGAACAGTGGGGCTACCTAGCGTAGATGAGAGGGATTTGTTATACATGGAACTTCATAATACAGTACACATTAAATAAAATAAGAAAATGAGGTGAGCAGACCTTTGAGTTAGAAATAGGTATATAATTTTCAATTGCTGCAAGTTTTATGGTGGAGTTATATTACGGGATGTAGTCTTTACCCAGACTGATAAGCAAGTGCAGCATGGTTGCTTGCCACATGTGAGATCACTATATGTGTTTATGACGTCCCCCTAAGATTTATGGTGTACAGGCATATCTACAGTTGGTATCTCTCTATTACACTTAATGCTAATTTAGGTTGTCATACTATCATAAGTAGTTCTTAAGAAATCGTTTCAATAAATAATTTTAGTATCTTACAAACGCTCATCAAAGATAGACATGTTTCCCGGTTGGGAATCTGCCCAACCCCTTACCTCCACTCCGATAAAAAATTAATCGAATAGGTTCCATCAACACCAACAATAATTAGTCCCCTTTCTTCTTGAAAGTTTCGAGTGCAGATCGTCAGATCCATATTTTCAAATATTTTTAATTGTTTTAATAAGACAATAGTGTTTGATCGCCAGTGTCGGTTTTTTAAATAACAGCGTTTTATTTATTTGGCGGACAACAAACTTGAGTATCCTCTGAATATTTGTTGTCTTTGTTCAACAATATATGTGTATTTGGTTCAAAAATCTACTCAGTAGAATTTGATCCCCTACAAGTCCATTAGACCTATTGGAACTTGTGCTTAACCCTTTGCGTCCAAATATAAGAATCGGCTGATTTTACAATAAAATTAAAAAACAACAGTATCAATTTTAAATTGAAAATAATTCTAAAGTAGTTTTTTAATTTGCGTTCTAAAGTGGTGGCTTTGTGCTGTTTGTTGTCATTAATACATGCAACAAATTGTCGCTGCCACTTCAAGAAAGTAATTTGTGAAATACAGTGAAAGCATTATTTCTTTTTGTATCTAACACTTCTTAAAATAACACATATACGCTAACACATGTGTAAAAATCACTCTCACTAAAATTTTTTCCATTTTTTTTGATCATTTGCCATTTGTCACCGTTACTGACCACGGATCATTTAGAAGGTGTTCAGAAGAACAGCGCAAGTTAGTGTAACGTAATAAAAGGTTATCGTTATCGTATTCTAACGTAGCACAGGTAGTGAACGTATCAAAGAAGTATACTTAATTGAAAAAACTAATAATAGCTATAAAATATAAAAATAAATACAATAAATAGTAAATTGAAGAGTATAAAATTAAAAAAAAAAATAATTAAAAATAAAATTTATAAGAAATTAATAAATTTTCAACAATTATTTATACTTTATACATTTATTGAGGAAAATTGTAATTATACTTTAAACATGTTTGAACAATAATTGGAATAAGTTCATTTTTTATTTAATAAATAAATAGAACGTTAAAGTTTGACAGTGTAATAAGAATGATATTATAATTAAACAAGTAAATAAACATTAAGTTCGGCCGGGTCAAACTTTTAATACCCTCCACCTGAGGGTAAAGGAAACATTAGAAGAAATGTGGCAAAAACCATTAAAACGCCGAATATCGGGAGGTACCGTTATATGGGGGCTATACCAAATCGTGGACCTACACATGCAATGTGTCGCCAAAGGAGCTAGAACCCATTATGAACTACAAATACCAATTTTCATACAAATCCGTGAAAAAATGTGGCAAAAATCATCAAATTACCGAATATCGGGAGGTACCGTTATAGGGGAGCTATACCAAAACGTGGACCTATAATTACAATGACTTGGACCCATTATAATCTACAACTACCAATTTTCAGAGAAATTCTTGAAAAAATGTGTCAAAAATCATCAAAATACCGAATATTGGGAGGTACCGTTATATGGGGACTATGTCAAAACGTGGACCTATACATACAATGTTTCGCTACACGAACTAGGACCCGTTATGACCTACAAATACCAATTTTCAGACAAATCTGTGAAAAAATGTGGCATAAATCATCAAAATACCGAATATAGGGACGTACCGTCATATGGGGACTATACCAGAACGTGGACCGATATATCTCATTTTCAATATCAACCATCATAGACACAACACGAATGGCGCTCTACGTCAAATAATGTGGGCTGTATCGTGATTTCAACAGACAGACATCGTTAAATCGACTAAGAATTTTGTGCTGATTATGAATATACTTTATGGGGTCTACGATGAATATTTAAGGA